TCTTAACAACTATTATTTTTAAAGGCTTAAACAGGTTTTTTTTTAATTCGACATTTCCTAGTGCTAACAGTCAATGGAATGTATGAAGATGAAACTAATATTGATATCAAAGGAAATTACAGCATTTGCTGCTCAGGGGAATGCTCCAATGAGACTTTTTTCTGACTACCAATGCCAGGTAGTAGTGATGGAAAACATTCAGTAGGTGTGCACTTAACATGAACTTCCTAGAGAGATTAGGAAGTTTCCCTATTAAAACAGACATTTCTTGTTAATAAAATTCAATTAGCATGTCAACCTTGACTTCAGGCACATTTTAAAGGAAGTGTCAATTTAATAATCACTCTTCAGTTTGAAATGCCATCCCTACTCTGATTACAAGTAAACTCTTTAACAACTATAATTAGGAGAGTTTGGAGAAAGGAAGTTAGTTTGCATGTATTTAATTCTGTTTTGCAGCACCATGTGTAGTCCAGTTATTCCTTTTGCTACAAGTATACACACTCCTGCTGGTCCTGCATTTTCCCCACTTAAACTAGTGATTAAATCAATGGGGTCATAGTTCAAGAGTGAAAAGGTTTATGGCAATACAAATATTAACAACTACCAGAAAGAGCATTACTGGGCTGGATCAGTGTAAGCTGGTGACAGCACATGAGTGCTTGGGGAAATGCAGCTGGACAGGAGAGAGATTAATGCAGAGAAACACTCACCATTCTAATGCCTGTACACGTCTTCACCCGGAGGTGTGAGGAAGGTTAGGAAACAGCTCTACTGGAAATAGTAAAATTCTCAAAGAAGGAAAAGGTGAGTAAACAGGGTGCTCAGGCCCAGAGGACAAGAGAAAATTCAGATTGTGTAACATTAGTGGTGATGGCAACTCTCAGAAGAGACTTGTGGTCTCTTACATGCTCTATACATTTGTAAAGCTGTTTGTGCCAATTAAGTCGTAGGGAAGCAGGAACCAGAAGTAAGATATGTGTCTCAGTACATCAGCAGTGTGGCCCTCACTGAAGGAGGAAGTCATCTCGGTATCCTGAACATACTGTCAAAATATAAATAACCAACCTTTTGCCTCACTAAGTCACTCAAACTTAGGGACTGTCTTCAGCAAAAGTATTTGTCAGTAAAATCTTAATGTCCCATGTTTTGGACAAAATTTTAACATTTACCTACTGAAACAAACTGGCAAGACTGAGAGTCCTAAATGAGCAGGTTCCAGAGGGAACTGCCCTGACTGCTACTTTCCTGCCTTATGGGCTTTTACCTTTAATGTGGCCTTGGTGTGATGAGGGAATGTCACTGCTGGGTCTAAGTGCAGAATGGCAGCTGAATATGGAAGGGACTTTTCGAAAAAGGACAATTTTGCTAGCCTAAGTGGGTACAGGTGACATCTTTGCTGAGAATAAATAAGTGATATACTTAGGGCAGGCTAACATCAGCAATGACAGATTCCACATTATGGCCAAAAGGCCACAACTTCATTAATATGATGCCTAAAGGCACCCTCCTGACAGCTGTGGAAAGAGGAGGAAATGACAATAGCCTACAGCACTCATCAGCCTCTCCTCCCTTTCTGGCACGGCAGAACAAGACACAGTGCAGCAGGCCAAAGAAGCCCTGCCAAACCGGGTGAGATTGCCTAATCCTAACTCCCTGCTTCCTGCAGCTCACTGCAGCAGGAAACCAAATTCCTTCTCATCTGCCAATGGTTCTACCCTCTGTCTCCAAGGCCAGGAACATCCCCTAGCTGTTGTTGCTGTAAAGTCACACCTCAGCCAGGCTATCAGCAGCCAATCTGAACCAGGGGATGAGTACAGCAGTGGTATGGGGATGGGAAGCTGTGAAGCAGTTACTGTGGGCTGTGACCAGGTGCCTGCTACCACCAGCAGCACAAGTGAGAGATTAAGCAGGACCTTTCTTTTACTGTTAGCCCATTCTTCCACTCTCATATTGTATGTGTCTCTAAAGCAAATCACTGTGCAGCCTTTCACTGCCACAGGTGAAAGCCAATGCTATCCACAGCAGCATCCCAACATAAATTTACAGCAACTAACACAGGAAAGACAGCTCATGCACATGCAAGAAAGAAGTACGATTCAACACAATTTTTTTCCTGTCATAAATAAATACACAAGGAATCGTTTCACATATTTATCTCTGTTCATGACTGATATTCATTCTGACATGTCTCAATCTTTGAGGTCAGCAAGGGCTTGCTGAAATCTGGTGATGCAGAAGTTTGGTCCAGGCTGATGTGTTCACAAATTAATACTTGGGGTCTTGAGGTTTAACTCCAGCTGAGGGAAGCTATCCCCCCTGCATTCAGTGCAGAGGGACCAGCCCCTCTGAGGGGCACTTCAGAGCTGAGACTCAATGTTAAACATTGAAAATCCCCCATGGAAGGCTTTGTCCTCTCCTTTGGCTACAAGACAGATAGTCCAGAGACTCATCTCATGAGACTGAGGTTGATCTTCGGGACTGCTCTCCTCTTACTACATGTACTATTAAACAGAAATACCAAGAGTAATCCTGGGGGCAGCTGAGAAGCTACTGAATTTGAATTTGCACTACACAATATTACTGATGAAAAACATGTAGTACGTGCATGACTGGAGCCACCTGACTCCTCAGTGCCTGCAGTGATAGGAGCTGTATTCTGATCAAAGGAAAGTGACGCGTCATCTCCACGTGCCTGGTGGAAAGTGCCAGTGCCCCTCACATGAGCTGTGTATGGAATCTGTTCTGTTTGCAATGAAAAACTAAGAAAAATGCAACATCTAAACTCGTGGAGGGAAAGTGAATAGTATAACGAGACTTCCATAATGAAGATATGCTCCCTATAGTGGAGATGCACAGACTTGGTAGGACCTGCCTCCTTTAAACAAGTTCACTCATGCACGGTTTGGCACTGTGTCTTGTGCTGAAGTCACACAATTCTCATGGGACTAAGTGGCATCCCCAAGGGAAGATGTACCTTTCCAGGCATGGGGTAAAAAGAGAGACCATGGAGTCTACAGAAATGTATAGTAGTAATAACAGACTGGGAAAAGTAAATGAAGAGCAAGCGCTGGCTTCTGGCAGCTTTGCTAAGACTGAGGAGGGATGTACTGCTGGAACCAAGGCAGTATGAAGCAGAATGTTCTTTCAAGGGAAAGAAGAGAGCTGTACAGCTCTTGTCCTATCGGAACTGATCAGATAGTATGTGCAATTGGGAGGCCGTGGTAAGGTACAATCTAAAATCCTGCCTCTTGCAGCTTTTACCTGTTACGTATTGCTCAATTCACTGGCTTATCAGGTGCCTGAGAGCGAGGCAGGACGAGTGCCTGAGCTGATTTCCTCAGAAGTCTCTCCTGCCCCTGCCCGGTGAGTGCTATATTCCTGTTTCTTCATCCTTTTCTTGTGATCCCACACCAGTTTGGATGGCTGCTGCTCTTACCAAAGCATTAAAACTTAACCATTCCCCCCTGCTTTATGAACCTCAAGTGAAATATTAAAATACCCTTCAGTGGCTTACAAATAACGTGCCATGACTCCCACAGGTAGGAAGAGCAGCACAGTCCATGCTCCATTACCAGAGCTAAAAGCCTCCCTGATGCAGAAGAAACTCAGGAGCATGGGGTACAAATGTTGCAGTGATTTTAGCAGTGGCTCATCTTGGGTCCAAGAAATACTTTTTGTACTGTCTGAGCACTGCCCCTGGACCTGCAACAGCTCTCACATCTCTGCTTGCTCCCACTGGGTTGCATTTAAACTTCAAGCTCCCTAGGAGGTGTAGGCAGGTGATGCTGAAATTTGGGCAGGCTCTGAACCTTCCCCATTCTCTGAGCATGGGGCTGGGGCCCATTTCAAGCCAAGTTAGAAACCTGAGCTAAAGACATGAGCTGCCTCTGTGTCATGGTTGTTCCCCTTCCCAGAGGCAAAAGCATGAAGGCACACAATCAGTCCATGCCAAAAGCCAGCAGCAGGGCCAGTTTATCAGCTCAGACTTTGATCTCTGTGAAAGCAGCCGTATCCGCCCTCTTGACCCAAGCTTGTCCCAGGAGCATGTTGTTGGTTCTGCAGAATGTGGGGTGTCTGTACCACCAGGCTGGTGGTGATGCCCTCTGCAGCTCAGGTTATTTGACCAGAGGTAATTGAAAGCTGCCTGCATGTGGTCATGTAATGACAGACTGTACCACAACACACATGTGCAAGGATGGCAAGTTAAGGTCAAGTGGGCAGACTTAGGCTAATGTTTCCAAACTGGGGAATGCCTGCATTTGCATCTGTCTGGCTCTCCTTTTACGGTAGCTCCTTCAGTGGTATTTACAACCAATAATTTAGAGTTTATGTTCAGATTTCACACCTGCTTGTTAGGCACGTTCACCTTTCAGAAGTGCGTGTATGCAAGCTGAACAGTCTTGCGTCAGAAGCAGTGCTCCTTGTCTGACTGAAACCCAGCTTTCCCTGACGCCTCCTCAGAAGCCCGGTGCCCAAGTGTATCCACCTGACTTTAGGGAGCGCAACATCCTCCGCGGTGCCCCAAGGGCACCAGCCTCCCGCAGTGGTCGGGCTTGGCTGATCTGGCTTCCCTTTTGCCCCTGGCGACAGCTTTTCCTTGTGCTTCTTCTTCTCCGCACCTGAGCAGTGCTCCCGCCGGAGGGCAGGCAGGCCGGGCCAGGGGACGCAGAGGAAGAGTCTCCCCGGCGCAGCGATCCCCGCCCGCCCGGGGCCGCCGGTGCCTCCCAGCGCCCGAGCCCCGGGACGGCGATCCCGCGCCGGGCCCCGCAGCGCCTCCCCGCGGCGGCGGCCGCTCGGCACCGCCCCGGTCCCGGCGCCCGCCCCCGCCCCGCCGCTCTCTCGGGCGGGAGGCTCGGCGACTCGCTCCTCCTCGCGGCCGCAGGATTCCTCTCTCCGGGCTTTCGGGCTGCCCCTTCACACCCGCCGCCGGAGCGGGACGGCGTGCGAGCGAGAGAGCGAGCGAGCGAGCGAGGCGGCGCGGATGCGCCCCGGCTCCCCGCGGCGGCGGCGGCGGCGGCGGCAGCGGCAGCGGCAGCAGCAGCGGCGGATGCTCGGCGGCGCGGCGGCCGCTCCGCAGCCCAGGAGCCCCACGCAGGGGGGTAGCGAGGCGATGAGCCGCCCGCCGGCGGCCGCCCGCGAGTGACGGCGGCGGGGCAAGGAGCGGCGGCGGCCAGGAGGAAGAGGAGGAGGAGGAGGAGGAGGAGGAGGGCAGCGATCCCCGCCAGTGCCCGCGGGAGCCCGGGAGAGCCCCGGCCGAGGGCTTGGCCATGCCCTTCGCCAAGCGGACCGTGGAGCCTCAGCGGCTGTGCCGGCGGCAGCCCGCCGCCTCTGTGCTGGAGGAGAGCTGGGGAGCGGAGCCGCCGCCGCGGGACCCGCCGCCGGAGGAGCCGGGGACGGCGGGCGAGGGCACCGAGGCGGCCGGCGGCGGGGAGAGGGAAGCGGCGGCGGTGCTGATGGTGCTGGACCTCTGCTCGGTCAGCAACGTAGCGCTGTCGCGGATCCTCCGACAGCTCTCCGACGTGGCCCGGCACGCCTGCACCCTTTTCCAGGAGGTCGAGGCTGACATCCAGGGCACTCACCGCCGCGTACGGGCGCTGCACGGCCGCATCGCCGGCCTCCAGGGAGCTGTGCGCGGCCTCGACCCCAAGCAGGAGGCAGTGCGTAAGTACCACGGAATGCGGGATGGATGGGGAGCACCGCGGGATGGATTGGGCGCACCGCGGGATGGATGGGGCGCACCGCAGCTCGGGGCACCTGGCGGGGAAAGCCAACCCCGGGCAAACCGCCGTGCAAAGTTTGGGGCCAGAGTCGGTGGGAAGGGAACCTCGGCGGGGCAGCGGAGTGGGAAGGGGCCGGGCCGGGCGGGCGCGGATCGGGTCGGGTCGGTGGGCGCCGCTGGGCGCCGCGGCGATGCCGGCGGGAGGGATGATGTCAGTGGTTTGTGTCTTACGTAAGGAGCTGGCTGGCGGGACTCTCGGGGCGCATCTTTTGCAGCCAAGGGTTTGGCCGGGGAGGGGGACGACGTCTGTCTGCGGGGCGCCGCGGGTGATGGGATGTGGATGATCCGCCGCACCCGGGCATCTTTGGATTTTATCCCTTTGCCGGCCTGTCCCCTGTACCCGAGAGATGTCTTTCCCGTAGAAGTGGCTCTGACTTCCCGATTGAAATGTTAAGGTCTTAAGTAGAAATAATAAAGCTGCTTCGTCGTTACCCAACTTTCGGGGCCATAAAATAAGGAAGTTTAGCTAATGACATCTTTCTGTTTAAAGAGTGGCTTGAGGAGCTGGGCGGGAGGGGAAGGGGGGGGGGAAGGGAGGAGGGGAAGGAGAAAGATCAAGGCAATATGCGACTTGTGTTATGAGCAGTGATTGAATCCTGTTTCTTTTCCACCCAAACTATAATAGCAGTGACAGGCTCCGTAGTCCTACCAGCTGCTGATTTCTGCTGAATATGGCTCGTGTTAACAGAAATGTAATGATTTTGTACTCTCGTTGATGTGTATGCTTCCCAAGCACTTGTGGATATGTATTTTTTGTTAGTTAGAGCTGTGGATTGGAAGTCTGGAATAGCAGAGATTGATGTCGATTCTGACCTGTTATTATCTGATTTAGGAAAAACAATGGCTTAAAAGGGGAATTTGGCTTAGTTTTTGCCTTCTGCTGTACCTCTTTAAATCCTGAATACCTCCACTGAGTACAGCAAAGTGAGTTTACACTGGGCTAAATGAGACTATTCCTCTTTTAGGTGTTTTTAATGAATGTGCCATTTAAAAAATGTGTTCTGGATTTCCTCCCCTTTGGAGTGGTATGGAATATAAGTAACTCTTCTAGGATCAATGAAGCTGTACTGATTAATGGAATCAAGCCTTAAGTATTCAACTGTATTTAAGCTACATACTCGGCAGCTCTGGAGTGACTTTGCTGGTGATATATTAATATACATCAACTGTAGATGAGACCAAGAGAGGCTTTCTGTGGTTTCAGGATGAGTGTGTAATCAGAGCAGAGTGCTGGGCTGTGATTGGAAACCGCGGTTAGAAGGAGGCTTGGCTGAGCTAGTGAGGGAACTGTCTGAGGAAATGAAACTCCTCATATCACATTCTCATCTGTAGGTCTTTTGAGCTGAGTAACTGTGAGTATATACTAATGTAAGTGAGAGCAGAGCTTAGCCGTTCTAATCCGTACGGCTTTTTTCTTTCTGGATTGTGCAAGTGCAGCTTGTTTGCAAATCACAGAGCAAAATCTTGATATTACAGCACAGTTATGTCATCTGCTTAATTAGAGAGTCTGGCTTTATCCCTGTGATGATAAATGCAGAATCTGTTTCTTTGGTGTTCTGTTTTCTTTTAAATCCTTCTCTCCTTAGGAGGGGAGAGACTTTTGGTCGTGATTTTCCCTGTGTCTGCCAGCTGTTCCTCTCCCCTTGTATACAGCACAGTGCCACTGACATAGCTGCAGATGTCCCCAGCTCTGATCAGCCAAAGGATCCTCCACAATGTCGGGCTTTGCCACCACCCATCCTCCAGTAGGAGTGTATCTTGCCTCCAGCTATACAGCTGCTTGAAGGCACATCCCCCAGTCCTCACCACTTCTCTCCTTGCAGCACTGTACCACATTTCTTTAAAGGTGAAAGTCACACCAAACCAATGTGCATGAGCAGTCAACTTCTTTGCATGCTCTGGCTGCTTTTATTCCCCATCCAGTGCTGGACCAGCAGAGCTGCATTTGCATAGTGCTACATCTGAACATCTCAACTGAGCCGAACAGCTCCATTCTGTACATCACCTCCTCACATGCCCCAAATCCATATACATACACCTACAGCAATGCCTCCCTTTGGCCTCTAGGCTGCTCACTGTTTCCAAGGGCAGATAAAACTACCTCGCAGGAAACTGCCCATCCTTGCTGTAGTGTATAATGATAGTGTACTTTGTCCTTTCTGGGCTGACGCCTCTCCTTCATTATTACTTTCAGCAAGACTATGCTAATGTTTGTTTCATGCATGAGGTGCCTACACAATTCACTCCTGAAAGTATTACACTCAAGTTACTGCACCCAGTTGTTTTTTTGAAACCAAGAGAGCAATTGTGGGTGGTCACAGGTCTGCCCAGGACTTAACCAGAATCACATTAAGGCATACTGACTTCTACCTCCTGTGGCGGACATGGGAATGATGGGATAGCCTCAGGGGTGTCATTTGGCTGTCCAGCCCAATGACACATCTGAGAATAATTCAGAACTGGATGGAGGTTTGGACTGAAAACCTCAAGGAACAAATTGGTGACAGGCATGCAGCCACTGTACCCGTGGCATCACTGTAATGGTTGCATTGAGCTTACTGCATACCAGGAGTCTGGAGGGGCTGGGATGCTTGATGCATTGGCCAAGACACCATGTACTGGGATGTTAACACCATGACAGTACAACCCAACCACACGTTTTCTAAGTACTCAGTTTAAAACTACTAGGATATCTTGCTGCAGTAAGACATTCTTGGTGTTCCAACTTCAAGTGCAGAACTGTGATTTGAGAATAATGCTATCAGACATGTCCTAGATACTGAGCGGTGACAGTGGAAGGCCTTTTTCTCCATGCCTCATAAGCCAGCTCGATTCTGAGATTCACTTGTGAAAGCACAGGCTGGGTGAGAAAAAGGAAATAATGGGCTAATGCCATCTCCAGAGCTACTGGAGCCAGTGGTTAGAGAGGCATTCCTTGCCCAGAATGCCATTCCTTGGCAATCAGAGCGGTGATACTGAGGGAAAGTGGAGCAGGAAAGGAGCTCTCTTGAATAGTATATAATACAATTTTGCATAAAAATGTTGTATTTTATATTGAAAATTATGTACTATGGTATTAAAATCCAACATCTATGTTGGATTCAGGAAATATTAACAAAGAATTAAAATTAAATAAAACTGGCATTTTCCCAGTAATGCTTATCACTACTGCTGTCCTTTTCATGAGGCCTTAACATTCTCAGCTCTGTTGCTTTGTGGTGGTGAACATTTACAAGAATGTGTATACTTTGCATTAAGAAAAGTACTTAAACTCCTCTGCTGAGCTAAGGGTAAGGGTATTTACCTGTGTGTTGCCCTTTTGTTTTTGCCACTGTTCAGAAAGTGGGATTGGAAAATCTTGTTAGGCACAATAAAGGACTTATTCTGGGCCGTCACAAGCAGGTCATCTTCAAAAACTCAAGGTCCCTTGCCTCTGCCTCCCCAGATGCTGTTTGTCCTTTCATCTTTCTTTTAAGCCTCTGGCCAGCTAGCATCTTGCAAATATGAATCCTTTCCCACCCTCTGACTGGAAAAGAAACAAGGGTGAGAAATGTTTTCCTGTTCAACTCCTGAACTAACTACTTTGCCCTTCTGTCACTCCAAGTACTTTACTGCTTTTCATCATGAGCAGCTCCAGGGTCTGCTTCTAAAACAGAACCATGTGGGAATAACATGATTGTTGTCAGTCTGAGTGTTGCTTAGGGTTTTCTTGTTGCCAGCAAGAGAACTGAGCAGTGTGGTACTGCCCAGTTTTATTATTAGATGCTTGATTATCTTGGTAGTACAGAAAGGTAGGAGAAGTGCTGGACTTGGGGCTTGGTGCCTCCATTATTTGAAAACATGATTTCTCAGTCTAGGGAACTACAGACCTGCCAGTTTAAGTGGAATATCGTACTTTTCAGAAACTGATGATGTAAGCCATCTTGCTTTCTGAATAATCGGCATCGACTGGGCAGCAGATTTTGAAAGCCCTAGCTAATGAGATCCTTTTTGCACCCTGGCATCCCGGAGAATTCCACACATTCCAGGCTTTTTTTCTGAAAGCATCAACGTGTTGCCAGTAGCCAATCTTTCTAAAAGCTGTATCGTTTCCAGCAGTTGCCTGCTGTATCTTCATTGCTCCGTTTTTCCATTCCTGATTTTCCTGTGTGGTAGCAGTTAGTGATGCAGCTGCTTAGAAGTGTGGGGATCTCCCGTGTTACTCTGCTCTTCAGAGGCCCCTGGATCTCTACAGTGAGCTCCTCTATAGGTTTTTCTTCTTTCCTGAAGTGTCAGTATTGAGATAAAAAAGACAGTTCTGTGCTGATTCTTTATCATTTTAGGCTCTGCATTAATTTATTCTGTTTGATTGAAGTTGGTTACTGAGAACAGCCTGGCTAGTTTCACTCTTGCTTTTAGTCTCTTTCATTGAACTATTTAGGTTTTGGGGTTTTTTTTGATTTTGTTTAGTTTGGGGTTTTTGTTAGTGTGGTTGGTTTGTTTTTTTTTTTAACCACACTGATATAATGCTCTTCTCTTTGGGTTTTAAGCACTGCAGGGAAATGTTTAATCCATTATAAGGTTTTAATGTGTTTTCTGCCATGATCCTACCATTTTTACAAAACATATATTGGACCCAAAGCTTGTCAGATAATGCATCTCCTCCCCCTTGACTTAATGAGCTGAAGTCTCAATTGCTGTTGAAATGGAATCAAGAAACTTTCATGCTTCCATCTCAGAATATGATTGCCTCTTAAGGCCATCCCAAGCTAAGTGTTGGTGAGCATCCTTGCAGAGATCTTCAGGTAGGTACATAAGACCTTAAGAGCAGGTGCCATCTTGAAAGAAAAAAAAAAGTGCAAGATGAGTAGATAAATGTTGCATTTTATCTCAGCTTCTGAAA